AGGCTCCTCCGGCTGCTTGAAAAATTCGATGACAATGAGTCGAATTTCCTCGTCGAATAACCTCAATGTAAAAGTTTTCATCATAAAGTTTTTATTAATAAGACTGTACTTCTTAATTGTTGCAATTACATTTTGCGAAATTTTCTGCTCTTTGGACCAATAATTCCAATTTTTTATTAAAAACTTGTCCACTACTCTTGCACGGTGTGTTTAAAAGCTATGTTTTTTTGAACTGTACTTATTAAAATAACAGTTTAAATACTACCTGAATTTTAAAATTATTTTGTGAAAATTTCGCAGGAGTATCGGAATTTGCCACAATTTTTCCGGGCCCATGCTTAGAAATTGCTACTTTAAGAGAAAAGTTACAGACTCCTTTGATAATTTCGTTTCATTATTTCTTGCATCTTCTCGTCCCTCAACTGTAAAAAGCTCAAGCTAAAGATGTTCAAACTTCAAAGAATAAGAATTACTCCGTACCAGGATCAAGGAGCTCGTTTCCAAACAGAGAACAGAGGAGAGCACAACTTCCTTCCAACCCGTCTAATCGATAATTACGGTTTCATTTTGAAGAAGTCACGATCAACAAGAAACTCTACCAATGTTACATAAAACAAGAATTCATTTTCTAAATAATATAAATCTATTTAAATAAAACTTAATGTACCATGAGAACGAATTTTATGTACCATGAAGGATATATTTTATATGTATGGATCAAAAACAAATATCACGTAGTATTTATAGAAATACTTCTAATATATTTGAATAATATTTAATTAAAAATAGGATTTATTTACTATATATGTTAAGAATCACACGTAAATACTATCGAACATCAATAACGCGTTTATTTTTCCAGGTTTCACAAGTTAGATGATACTATAATTTCATAAACATTCGCAGTCTAGTTATAATATGATGTTTCATTACTATTAACAAATTGTTCCGTTTCAGAGTCAGTATTTTGTTTCGATTATATACCTATTGATAATATTGTTAATTAAATCCAAATGCGAACCGTACCGTGTAATAGTTTGTAATGGATATTGGATCAAATGTATGCCAAAATTAATATAATTTTTAATCGACTCGCAACCTAATAATGTAAGTTAACAAAAAAATCACAGTATAATTTAAAACAAGACCAACAGGCTGTATTAACTAAGTGCATATGTTTTCGACGATTTATAACTGAAACAGTGAAATAAAGCGTGTCTGGCTACGTAGTGCCTTTTTCACTGTGACAGTCAACGTGTTAAAGGACACTAAAATAATTCGAAGACTAGTAAACTACCTAAAGCATATCAAATTATAGAGTCAATTATTATTATTAATGTTGTTAATAATGTACACAAGTGGTTGATGCGTCCATGAATAACAAAAAAAAAAAATAATTTTCATTTGTTCTAGAAAATCCTTCCTGAAATCGTACAGATTCCATCTCATAATCTCATGTTTCGCTAAGAAAGCAGTTGTTGCGAGAGCATACACTTAACTGCCGGGTTCTAATTACCGAATACAACGTTGGTGGGTAAACTTCATCGATAAGGATCTAGTTAAATCCAGCCACTGGTGTAATCTTCCGCAATTACGAAACGTTGTTCGGACTTTAATCCTATCTAATTCGAGGAGAATGGACACGGATCCTTTGAATTTCAGCCCGCCGGACTTAAAACTGCGTGGAAATGCAATCACATCGTCGACCCTATCCAATTAAACGAACTGATAAGAATCTACAATTTTCTGAAAAGTCATCGATTTTAAAATATGAGTCAGTTTAAATTTCATATTAAATTTAGTTAATACTTCTCTATTTAGAATCCACTTTTAAAGCTCGTAAATCGATTCAAACATAATATTCTCATATTAATCTTACTTATTAATCAAAATATTGGAAAATATTATAGTACACGCTGAAATTGAAAAATGTTGGGTTTTGCTTACAGACGTGAAGTAAAGTTTGGAAGGAAGTTATCTTATCTTCAGAGTTTATAACGCTGTTCCTATTAAATTATCTAAGATAAACCGGTGCTGCGTTCCTCCGTTAACAGTACTTTACTGCGTAGGAGATACATTATTTATATTTTCACTTATACGAAAATGTTCCAACGTAAGATATTATAAAGTAGAAAGTACGATGGAAAACGTCTTATACGTTATAATTCTTTATTCAATCATAAAGAGGTTCTTTGTCGTCTAAATACTAATAAACAAAGTACTTGTTCAATTCGTTATTTGGATAATTTTAATATTAATGGACAATATTTTCAAAACTTAAGAAATATACTCACACTATTATAAAAAAATATATATTTTACACTATTTTCTGTAATTTCACCAATACCCCTGAAAACTGTTTATTTACACGTTCGTTCGTAAAATTATTGACTTCGAATTTCTTCTACGCCGAGAATAGTTTTAATTTGAAAGTACAAAGTATTTTAATTTTGGCTATGCGTTGGCGCGGGAGCACAGCCGACAGACTCACGCGCTGATTGGTCGGGATTTTTCGTTAATATTTCGTTAACAAAGCCTCGGAGAACTTTTTCGCCAAGGAAAAAGTTGTTTCAAATTACCTTCTTCAACGACTGATAACTATTTTGGGACACCCTGTATTGATATTAAATTATAATTACCAGAATTTTTGACCCTGTTCCTTTAAGACGTCGGTCTTAAGGTAAGGTTATCTCACATAGGTAAAGCTGATAGTAAATAGTATTCTTGTATCCAGTCGTTGAGACAGGAATCCAAGCAACGCTTCTAAAGAAACCCGTGAATGAAACCACCGAAGGTTGCTGCAACACGGCAATCTTATTCTTACAATCAGTTCTTCCCTTTCCCAATTTGAGGGAAATTGAACACACCCCTACCCCAGGTCCACAGAGATTTCCCCGGATTCAGCGACTGCTGTAACTCGCCGCAATTACAACGCAATGTTTAAACCATGATCCTATCTAATTCGGTAACCTGCCTCTTTCGTCTGAATTTATCGTCATCGGTTCCATTCCGTTCCGTTCCGTTCGGTTTCAACGGAGGGGCCAGAGCCCACCCCCTGATTCGCGGTTTTTTTGCGTTTGAACTAGCTCTTATTTCGTCCGTCGAGGTGGAATAATGCCGAACCTTCCACCGTTCTTCGAATGCGTTCGTTTTCCGCGTTGGTTATCGAGACGCGGCAGACCATGTCCAAGGAATACAGATCACGATCGCCTTGAGACGTATTGGAAATAATTTTGTCGAGTGCCGTTTCTCGATCGAAGATCCTTTGGTTTTTTGAAGGTGAAAATTGTAATCCATTGGTGATTGAAATTTTTAATGGTTTGAATTAAGGATGACCGCCTTGTGTAATTAGAAAAATCTATTCTTTCGATTTCTTAAAAAATGAATATCAGAATTCGCAAGATATAGTGGATTAATTATTGGATCGCTTAACAAAGTGCCAGAAACATCTATTCTTTCGACTTCCTGAGAAATGAATATCAACTTTCACAAACTAAAGTAAATTATTTATAAATCCCAAAAAGATCTATTCATTAGATTTTCTGATAACTGAATCCCAATGTCTGTGAACTAAAATAAATTATTTCTTAGCACACCTAATAAAATCCCAAGAAAATCTATTCTGTTAATTTCTTAAAAAATTAATATTTACAAAATTTTACTCAAATTCTACTTTCACTGAATATAGTGGATGATCTATCAGCTCATAAAATCGCAGAAACATCTATTCCGAGTATTCACCTTGTCCTCGGAGGAGCTTCCATTGATTTGTCCTCGTTGAAAGATTCACCCGACACGATGTTCGAGTTATTTCGAACTATTCGGGCCGTATTCGTGGAACGGGAGGGGGTTGACTGTTTGACACAGGGCTGAACTCGGCCGACGTTGAATTTCACGTGTCGAATTAGGGTCCCGCGAAAACACGATCCTTTCCCTCCTTCGGGGAAACGCATTTGTAAGTAATGCAGCCGAAGTTGCATCTGCTCGTGGCGGGAGTGACACGCGGGGACGGCGAAGTTTCGGAATGCGGCGCGCGTGCGCGACACTAATTAAATTTCTTTTGGCAACTGTCGACGGTTTACTCTTGTCCCTGTAATTTTGCGTTCGTTTCGAGGCTCAATTGCCGGTAGAGGAACAACAACCCCACCGGGAAAAAATTCACGATGGAGTTTAAGCGAGCTGAACCGTTTCTTTGTGGGCTCGATTGTGAAATTTCGAATAGGGCGTTGCTCTGCGATTCACTTGGAACAGATACTGTTCAACGCCTAAAAAATTTGGCCATTTTCAATAGGCATTTCTGAGAGATCTTTATGAGCTGAATACGAATCCGCAAACCGTTTCTGTCTAGCACGTCCAATTTTCGAAAAAATTAATCTTTAAGAAAATTGCAAATTTTCAAATTTGGAGCTGTGTTGTGCTTTTATAGTAATAGTTATTCACTTTCTTTTTGATGGTTCAATTCATTAAATAATCAAAAAAATGTAAATTTGCATATAGTAAAGTCGCTCAACATAGAGTAAAGTGTATGTTAATCTCTACGAAAATTTGTACTTTGCTCGTATATATTTGCGATAAGTGCATACAACCCGCAATCCAATGATTAATGGACTTAGTGAAGCTAGACATACACAATTTATGTACACGATAGAACGACGTTAGTCATTCAACTATCTAGTTAATCATTCGGACTCTATGATGTTAACTAAAATTCATCAAAAATTTATCGAGAATTCATGAAAAAGATTTACACGATTAATGCTTCAAAAAGCTCAAATATTTTAAAACGTTTCGAATATTTTCAATAGTAATATTGGATGACGCGACAGAAAATTCGGTAAAGTTTCGAAATCATGTGAAACATCGACACTGCATAGGTGATTAGAGTGTAGTTCACATTTTCGAAATTTCGTGAGCGAAAGCTAAAGCGTCAACTCGACGGGTCGGTCGTGTAAAAAAGTGGAAAGGCCGCGGAAATGTCTGAAACAATCGTTTAATCTTACCTTGGCAACCCCGTAACCCTTGCCGCGCAACCTGAAGAGACACGGCACCACGACAGCTGGCGAAACGGCGGCTATTACACTTCCGAGCAGAAAACCCCATATCCAGGGCAAACCGAGCAGATATTTTGTCAGCGTAGCTACCACAACCGCCTCGACGAGCCATGGAATTAGACCGAGTTTCGGTACGGTGACTTTCAGCCTCTTCAGAGCGTTCGGGTCCAAATCCAAGCCGGCTCTGGTGAGGATAATAACTAGAGCGATTTTTCTGCAACGAGAAACAGGAGGATCAGCGATCTTTCGGGAGCAGAGATACGGTTAGAACAAATTTCACAAAACATAGCTTATTGTGATATAAATTGTTGTCACAAATACTACAAACAATATGAAAAAAAAAAAATATACAATCAATACTTAAAGCAAGAACAAAGAATCTATGTTGTACCATTGCTTTTCAATTTTCGAAGGTAATTAACACAATAAATCTTAAATAACTGTACATGAAATATCTAGTTGTTGGTTGTAAATTAGTTTAGCAGTGCATGCTAAGGTGAAGTAATAATACTTTATGGAAAAAATGAAAAACAAGAGGCAGAAGTATGTACATAATATTCGATTACAACATAATCTAAACATTTAATTTTGTGTGATATATGTATTTGAAAGGAAGGAATATATACGTAAATAAATAAATACAAGTACCTATAATAAAATGTACGCAACATCTTTCAAGTCCTATGCCCCTATGTGGCCTATGTGAATGTGACGTGAACGAGCCACATTCACACAAAACTACGTATGAAATGTTCAAGATCAAAACAAGGTCACAAAGAATCGTGGTCGCCTCGACCCTTTTCAACTTCCATCAACCATTAATGCTCTTAATCAGCAGTGCATCGTCGAAACTTCGTATGAACAGCTCAAGTGCGGAATATACAAAAAAAACTCATCAGATTCCTACATGAATAATCCATGTTCTTGAAACTTGTAAAACATGAACAGTCTATGTTCTTCGATCTTGCATGCAAAAGAATCGTGGTCGTACCAAACCTTTTCAATTTTTCACGATCATTAACGTTCTTCGTAATCAGCACCGCGTCGAAACTTCGTACGAAATGCTCAAGTTCACCGCGGATGAAAATTCCTGTCGAGCGATCTCTCGGCAAGCGGATCAGTCTTCGGCAAGAGAAGAGGCGAAGGGGGTCACTTGTGCCATGGGTCTAGCTTTGAGGACGCGTCCTTCGTGTTCTGTCTCGGTGTGGAAGCTCGGGGGGTTATCGCTCGAGTTTGCGTCTCTCGATGTAAATTCGACGTGTTCTCTCTGTCTCTCTCTCTCTCTCTCTCTCTCTCTCTCTCTTTTTCGCTCTCTGTCTCTCCAAGATTGTCGATGTCTTGCTGGAGAGAGCGCTCGGTTACCCAGACCGAGGACCCGTGCCCTCTCTTCCCGAGAAACTCGTAATAGGATAAGTTTCGGACAGCCTCCGCGGAGTCGGTCTCCTCGCAAAGTTCGGCCGCCTTTAACGATCCACGGGCACACCAGCCGAGTTTTCATCGAGCACGTTCCACGTTTTCCGGGACCGGAGGACTCGTGTTCGAGAGACCATCACTGCCGGCGCCGATTTTCATTTACATTGCCGCGGGAGGAGCGTCGCGTTTCTACGGGGAACACTGATTGGTACTTGTTCCGACTGAATCCGTTCGCTGATTCATGGGAACGTAATTTCTGGTCGTGATCGTCAAGGGGGAAGATTTTTGTCGTTGTGCGCGCGGGGTGATCTAGAAAAGGGTCAAATGATTTAAGAGTGTATAAGAGCCATTATCGTATTCTGTATAATCGTAAGTTGCGGTAACTTTGCCTCGGTTAGGGTAACTTTGTCCTAAGGCAGAAAATGATCATTTCCGATATTGCAGGTTTGCAAATTGTTAATAATTTTTATGGGAAACGGTGCTCTGATAATGACCATTTTCTGCCTTTGGGACAAAGTTACGCTAGACTGAGTCTAAGTTACTACAATCTGTGGTATAAAAGAACTGTTCAGAACCGTTCTGGTCCGTTTCATACGGACTTCGAAATGAAAGAACACGGACTCTTCCATTCAACTTCTGTTTTTCGTAATAACAGAGTTCCCAGTTATCGAATTATACGCAAGCATCGAAGTTTCGTGCTAACTGTATTTCCGGTGACTTCGTCCCGGAAACGATATTATTCTTCAATCAGCGTCGGGGGGCGGTCAGACATCGAAGAAGCTCAAATTTCGGTTGAAATTTCAGCCAGTCTATGTGATAGAACCGTAACGATTGAAACGATGAACAAAGACAGGGATTTCCAATTTGTCCATCGAACACACACCGCGACGGAAGAACGTTTTCCACGAAGTTGAAGTGCTTGCAAATACTCGCTGGAGGATCGTTAAACTTGCTCGTTTCAGGCGGAAGTTGAAATTAAATGTTATGTGTGCACTTCGATCCCATGAATTTCGCTGGAAAGTAACGAGTTTCTTCCGCCGATACTCCTCCAAGAGAGTTGTCCCGTTAAAGTATCTCGTTTATGATTTATAATTGAAGTTATAAGTGAAGATCGATACGTTGCAATTTTGAAGTAGCGTTGAAAAAAATGATATTTTATAGATATTTACAGTTGATCATTTCAATGGATGCTTTCTTGATTCGTTTACAATTTGTTCAATTTTATACTAAATATTTTAAGATGATAATTTTGGATTGTGGTTCAAGTAATTTATTTGACGCAAAACTTTCATCGAAAATAAGAAAAAAATTAATTACCATTTTTTATTATCAATGATATGACTTTATACGAAATTTAGAAATAATTTGTGACAGTATTCTAACGTTATATACAATGAAAAGTGCAGATAATAGTTGGATATGGAGGTCCCGATCCCGCAATAATTTTAAACAATTTTCTAAAGCACTTGGTTTTTAAACTTTCAAAAATCCTTAAAAATGAAGAATCGTATTAAATTGTCGTATTAGTAAAGATACAAAAAAGATCAATATATTTACACGCAATCTATAGAATCATCTACGTTCACTATGAGTAATATGAAGTTATGCAATCGCGTTTTGCAATTCCTTATCATGTGATTGAAAAATATGGGATCGTCTATGTCTAATCAAAAAATATTATTAAAACCTAGAAGTCAAAGTACTAAAAGATTTTATTCAGGATAATTCACCTAAAGAATTCACCTTACAGTTAATATAATAATCCATTAACAATAGAACAACCACTGTTTCAATTGATACACTTATCGTTCTTGTACTTTTCTGTTTTGTTTCTGTAGAGATAGGAATTAAATACAAGTGGAAAGAATTTGTAATCTTAATATTGACTTGTTCGATCTCTGGGATTACAGGATCTAATCTTTTAACACGATACTTGCGGAATATAGTCTTCACAATACGATCTCTTCTCAATTTAATAAATGAGAAATTTTCCATTAGTTCTCTGCTATAGAATATTCCGCTCAATTTTGTAACACGTTTTGAGAAACACCTTGTACTTTTTTTTTTTTTTTTCATTTTTCGTCATGTTACAAATACTGTAATTATACGTATAAAGGTCATAATAAGTTAAATTAATATATTAATTTGATTAATCGTACTATAGAATTATCAAAAAAAATGGATGATCCTGTGAAAACATAGCTTCTTATTCCTTTGTCACAATATGTATACAATAAAATTGAGAAATATCTTAACATGTTTAATACTGATTTTATAATGTTAACACACTAACTGCCTAAATTAGTCTTTGCTCATTTGCTTTAGTAGTAATTATATTTACAAAATTCGAAATGCAAGAATTTGGAAATTCCAGGCTTTTCGTCCAATTTGGCAGCCACCACTTGTTAACGTAAAACAAGAAGCCTAAATGTGACTATAAAATAAAAATATCTATGTCGTATTAGTGTAATAAATACCAGAAATTCTTAGCGTTACAAATAATTACACATTGTTAACATCTTCGATCAAATTTTTTTTAAAATCGGTCCACGAGAATTTACCCTTAAATATGGACGAAGGGAAATCAATTCAACGGGAGTGGGAATGATGCAATAAACCGGTTTCGCTGATTTATTTTCCGAGTCGGTTTTCCCTCCGGCCAGGACAGTCCGCGGTTGTAAATGTAAAAAGCGTATCGAGCCTCCACCGCACCGTGGAAATAAGTTATTTAAAAGCCGCACCGCTCGAAAATGTCCATTCCGGCTTCCGGCCACGCGATTATTTAAATATTTCAAATTCTATTCCCTTTGGGATCGATTTTCCAAAGGTACGTGCCTCAGCGCCTTGGACGCATATGCAAGGATAATATTGTCAATTTACAACACCATTTATCGATTAATTATTTAGTCCTGTTACAATTTTACCTATCCAAACGCGGCACACGTTTATAGATTTGTCATGAAAATAAAAATTTTTGTATTCAGTTTAACTGTACAATAAAATACTCACAAAGTTACAAGATTGGTTTAAGATTTTCTTCGCGATAAATTCCCAAAAATTTGTTCATTTTTAGCTGTTTACACCCTTTAATCTGTTAAGGAGTAACTGATTCCAGAGTGATTATTAGTTTTTGGCCGACGAGCTCGCGGTTTCTCGGCCAAAACGTGTCATCGGAAAGAAACTTGACCCACATCTCCGGCCCGGGCCGCGATCAAACCGGCAACATGCACTTTAATTTGAATCAATGGTTCGCCGTAATGCGCGGAAAACAACAGCACCAGCACGGCGTGAAGTTTACACGCGAATGAATTTAATCGTTCGACCTTCGATCGCAGTTAGCCCCGACCCCGTTTCCTGGTACCCCCGAGAATTACAAATCTGTTCTCCATTTCGGCACCAGTCTTTTTCCCTTTCGTCGCTTCATCGACAGCTATTTCCCGTCGATTTTAATGCGAGAATATTGCCTGCCTGCATGAATCGTTGATTGCGAGTGAACGGAATATTTTAAGAACGTCCGTCCATGCATGTAATGCTAAGAGGAAGGATTAATTAACACGAAATGTACCAAAACAGTCAAAATGCTGGATTCGTAATGTCTTGTGAAGGTAATTAAAATGGTATAAGGGTGTATTTCACGATATTTTTTGGAGGAAATCGCAAGATATTTAATCGATGATGAAATTCAAAACACTAATTTTAATATGTATGGTAAATTTTCTCTAGATTAAGATGCACTCAATTGAGAAATTACAAATAGTTTACTTAAAAAATTATATTATAATTATAAAAACCATATTTATT